GGCAAAGAGGAAGAAGACGATGCCGCCTCCACCCTCGTCTTCTTCCTCTTCCCGAAAACAAACCACTGCCTCCTCGGCCACCTCGTCGGCGAGATCATCGCCGTCACAGCCTACTGAACCTCAGCCGGCCCCACAGCCTGCTCAGGAGCCGCAACCCTTGCCGGAGCGGCCTTCGGAACAGCCCGCGTCCCCGGTGATCTCGGTGGACACGGTGATCGAGGCACCTACTCGACACGTGGCAGCCAGACAGGAGCTCTTCCCGCCGGTCACGGCGCTGACTACTGTGACAGCCAGACAGGAGACCTCTCCAGTACTGGAGACTCCGGAAAGGGGCAGGCAGACAATGAGGCTGGCCCGTGCCATTCAGGCTTCGACCTCAAAAGCCCCTCCAGTGGCCCAGCTGCAGCTTCAAAGCCGGGATGCTTCCTCATCCCCTCCTCCCCAATCCCTGCCTCCTGATGATGAAGAGGAAGATGGCGAGTTGCCGGGATCGGTACACTCGGGATCGGTATTGTCTCTCGGGATCGAGAGATCACCTACCCACGACGCCTATGAGGCGGATCCTCCATCTCCTACAGACAATGTCCGAGCCTTTGCAGATCAAATGGCTCGCATGGCTGAGGCTCTGGGCCTGGAGGTCAAACAGACTTCCAAAGCAGTGCTGGACCCTGTGTTTAAAAGGGTGCAGAGGGAGTCTCCACCCGCTCCTCTCCTACCCTTCCTTCCCTACCTCCTCGAAGTGATCCAGGGCTCTTGGAAGACCCCCTCCTCCATCCCTCCAACCTCCAAGAAGATTGAATCTTGGTATAGAACTGATGATGAGGGCTTGGAGTGGCTGAAACACCATCCCGACCCTAACTCGGTGGTCGTGAAGGCAGCTCAAGGGTTCGGAAGGCAGTCCTCGGCGCCATCCGACCGCGAAGGAAAGAGGTTCGATGCAGTGGGCAGGAAGCTTTACTCTGGTGCCCTCTTGCTGGCCCGCATGGCCAATTACGGAGCTTGCATGGGAGCATACCAGCAAATCCTCTGGGAAAAAGCTGAGCCCTTCTTCCAGAGGATGTCTGAGGAGGATCGTGCTGCCATGAACACCCTGGCTCAGGAGGCAAACTCTTTGGCGCATCACCAGATGCAGATGGCCAAGCACACGGGAGACACCGCGGGCAAGATGATTGCTCACGCCGTGGCAATCAGGAGACATGCCTGGTTAAGATCCTCTGGCCTCTCTACATCGTCGAGGCAGGTGATCGAGGACCTCCCGTTTGATGCCCTGGGACTCTTCAACGCCGGGACGGACGATAAACTGAAGTCAAATCACGACTTCAAGACCTTGGCCTCAAAGTGCGGGTTTGAGAATCAGAACCAGGCACAAAGAACCAGATGGTTCCAGTACAAACGCCGGCACACGGTCCCGTACCGTACCATACAGTACCGCCATCCAGCCCGTCCCCTGCAGACCTCCCAGCAAACCCACCCTCAACAACCCCAACAGCAACGGAGGCAGCACCAGCAGCAGCGTTCGCGCTCTCGTCAGGCTTCAGGAGGCAACCAGGCCAGGCGCCGCATTTGACGCGCTGGCGGACGATACCGTTTACAGTTCCGTTACCGATGTTGCTCCCATGTCCCTCCCAATGGTACCCGCCCTCATCCTTCCATCCGGCTCGACACCGTTCGGAGATCGCCTGACAAACTTTCTCCCTGCATGGGAAAATATCACCTCAGATGCATGGGTTTTAAAGATTGTCGACGAAGGCTATGCATTGGAGTTCGAAGAGCTCCCACCAACAGGGCAGATTGTCGATACCGAGCCATCCTCGGCGATCCTGGCAGAGGTCGATACCCTGCTTCTGAAAGGGGCAATTTCCCCTCTCCCGGACTCGCAAAACCATCGAGCCTTCTTCTCCAGATACTTTACTGTCCCAAAGCCGGATGGCTCCCTTCGCCCCATCCTCGACCTCAGAGACTTAAACTCCTTCATCGAACCTCGAAAGTTTCGGATGGTGACGGTATCGTCCATTCTCCCCTTCCTCAGATACGGGGACTTCTTCGCGTCCGTCGATCTCCGGGACGCTTATTTTCATCTTTCCATCAGAAAACATCACAGACGCTTCCTGGCCTTCAGGGTAGCGGGACAGACGTACGTGTTCAACGTCCTCCCCTTCGGTCTCGTGACGGCACCGAGGACCTTTACAAAATGCATGTCGGTGGTCGCAGCAGCCCTCAGAAGGGAAAAAATCCGGATTTTCCCTTACTTAGACGACTGGTTGTTGGCAGCACGCTCCCCGGACCTTCTGCGGGCGCAGGTGGCAAGGACACTTTCCCTCCTCAAGGACCTGGGCCTCCAGTTGAACGAGGAGAAATCCCACCTCGAGCCCACCACTTGCATAAAGTTCATCGGCGCCATGTTCGATTCTCTCTCCCAGACAGTCTTCCTTCCAGAGGAGAGATTCAGGGCTCTTCGAGCCGAAACACTAAAGGTGCGTCGCTCCCGAGTGGTCCCGGTGAAGCAGATACAAGTCCTCCTCGGGCACATGGCTTCCACAGTGATGGTGACACCGTTGGCAAGGCTCCGCTTCCGCCCCCTCCAGAGATGGTTCTTAGACCACTTCAACCCCATGCGAGACAGTGCTGCAAAGCGTCTGCTGGTACCGAGGTCGGTAAAGGACTCGCTGAGCTGGTGGATGAACCGCCAACATGTCTGCAAGGGCATTCCCTTTCATCCAGAACCCCCAGCCGTCACGATCACGACAGACGCCTCGATGTTCGCATGGGGATGCCATACAGGAGAACTCTCGGTGCACGACCTCTGGTCTCCTCAGGAGAAACAGTCCCACATCAACTACTTGGAACTGCTGGCAATCTTCAAGGCCCTGAGAGCCTTTGCCCTCCTGGTCGAGGGGAAGTCTGTCCAGATCCTCACGGACAACATGGTGGCAATGTTCTACGTGAACAAGCAGGGAGGAACAGGCTCGAGAAAGCTCCTCAAGCTATCACTGGAGCTCTGGGACTGGTGTGTGGCCAGGTCGGTGTCGATAACAGCCTTGCACCTCCCAGGAGAAGCCAACGTCGAGGCCGATGTACTCAGCAGGACCAGGGCGATGTCCCACGAGTGGAGGCTGAACCCCGATGTCCTGTCGGAGATCTTCAGGGAATGGGGCCTCCCAGCCGCAGACCTCTTCGCGTCGCTGCAAAACGCTCAGCTGCCTCAGTTCGGTGCTTGACTTGCTCCGAACACGGTACCGGGGTGCCTAGGAGACGCGTTCCTGCTGGACTGGTCGAAGCATCTGCTCTACCTCTTCCCGCCATTCCCGCTCATCCCGAGGGTGATCGAGAGAATCCAGTCGGCGCAGACGGATTGCATCTTGATAGCGCCGGAATGGCCACGACAACCGTGGTTCTCGGTCCTCCTCCAGCTGTCCGAGGGACGGATGAAACGCCTTCCACTTCGGCAGGACCTGCTCTCAAGGGAAGATGGTCAGCTTCTCCACCCCGACCTCGCTTCTCTGC